AGAAAATATACATTCATACCTTTCACGAGGATATTTGCACGTATATGAATATAACGAAGCCGACTGAAATGGAATTCGAATTCATCTCTCCGATCATTCATTTCGAAATGCTATGCGGGTTTACAGAAGGATACTTAGGATGCCATGAACCGAATATATGAGCAAAAATGAAGTTCTAGAGAAAATCGAAACAAAAAGGAATACATACGTGACACCAGGAAGAGACAGCCGAAAGCTCTAGACGCATACTGAGGAAAAAGGGCTTCGAAAATCTGATACTCACAGAACAAGAGGGACGAAGGAAAAGAACGTCTAATATCTCCTCACAGATGAAGAGGAGATTTGGGGGAACAGAAATGGGGTTCTAGTCTTGGAAAATCTGATACTCATAGGACAGATTGAAGGCGAGGTGGACGGTATCTACCAACTGCCCCACGCAGTTAGATGTGCCACAAGGCCGAATTTTGGAGTTCCAGAGCCCGTAGGCTCAGCCAAAAATTCTCCGTAGATCCCCGTATTAAACGGGGTCAGGTAGTTTTTTTCCGACACGAGACTCTGCACTTCGACATAGACCCTGTCTGAGGATGCCTTCTGCTCAGAGGCAGAGAGCTTAACCAGCCCAACTGAAGACGAATCTTCAACTGCAGGCCAGCCGACGGGACGAAGGAAAACAACGCCTGACATCTCAATGTCTCAATGAAGAGGAGACTTGTGTCAGCAAAAATGTAGTTTTGGGCTTGGAAAATCTGATACTCACATGACAGATTGAAGACAAGATGGACGAAGGAAAACAACAATTATCATCTCAGAGATGAAACGGATTGTGCCACCAAAATTACTGTTTTGGACTTGGAAAATCTGATACTCACAGAACATATTGAAAGCAAGATGGACGCAGGAAAACAACGACTAACATCTCAAAGATGAAGAGGAGATTGTGGCACCAAAATTGTGGTTTTGCGCTTAGAAACTCAGAGGACTGATTGAAGGCAAGATGGACGAAGGAAAACAGCGACTATCATCTCCTCACAGATGAAGAAGATTCTTGTGGCAGCAGAAATATGCTTCTGCAAGACAATGCCTTGCACCGACTATGTGAGCAATGACGAATTTTTAGAGATAGTGGATACAAAAAGTAAACATACTTATCTGGCAGAGACGCATGAAAATTCTAGGGCACAAAAGAGGGTTTGAAAAAACTTATACTCATAGAAAGGATTGAAGCATAAAAGAAAACAAAACCTAACCTATTTGATGATCTTGACTAAATGGATGGCGGAACTGTTTGCGAGAACTAAAAAGACAACATTTATTAAAATCTACAAAGGACAGGAAATTGTGGGCAGTCGTGATGGAACACGACACATGTAGAAGAATTTATTACACACACGCACAAACTCATCAACCAATAGAAAAGCGTTTCTGACAAAATATAAGCAGAGCAATAAATAGATTTCAAAATATGTGGCACCAGAAAAATTGATAGCGGACTGGGTAAGCAGTTGTCTAATATTAGCCCATGGACCTGTCAAAATCCGTTCCACCCGGCAGAACGGATATTGATCGCGATATTCGATGTTTTGAAGAGCGTGGAACCATCTCTTACTGGTTGTTACGCCCAGATCCACCCTAATCCGGATTTGTAGCACCAGGTCTTGGCAAAAAATATTCAACCCCAATTTCAAAACACTAGGAATAATACATTTTTATCGTAAACATAGCGGCAATACATGTTTTTAAAAAATTACTAAAAATATATTTTTGTAGAGAAAATTATCAGCAATACATTTTTATCGCAAAATGATAATCAATAAATATGAAGAAATTATAGAAATATTGCCAACAATACATTTTATTATCTACAAACTATATATATCTAAAAAACGAACCTTTTTTTAACAGTCTAAAATTATGTCTGTGTTTGAAGGCATAAAATTGCATTCAAAATATCTGTAGTTGAAGCCTATAGTTTTTGCATGCAAAAATGTTTAGATTTCGGTATTAACTAACCGATAGTGTTTGATATGCAGCTAACCAATCAAAGCCCAAATCCGTTCGCGGACAGGATCTGGCTCGCTGTTCTTCGGTTGCCTATTTCTGCTTTCACAATCTCCCCTTAAAGTTAGTGTTGATTTTGTTTATTTCTAGAAGCTAAACTGAAGGTTACAGCAATTACTTGACCCGATGAAAATAATAATCTGAAATATAATAAAATAAAATTTATCAGAACTGAATTTAAAAGTGGCGAAATAATACCTAATCTATTATTCAGTCTATTCTTTTTTCCCTAGAATATTATACCAGTTATCGATTTCTCAACTAATTATTAGGTTAATATGAAAATAATATCCGATTTTACAATAAACCTTTTAATTTTCTCCTAATATACAGGGTGTGATGGATAAAATGTCGTCTAAATTAAGCCTGAATACATCTTTTGGGGATACAGCATCCTCTGCACTGTCCTCCAGATTGACAATCAAAAACTTTGAAATATTCGTTTTGGAGCTTCCGGTGCGAATGCCAAACAGTACTGAATGACATTTATTTTGCAGTGAATTGCATCATGGTTCTCTTTTTCTCAAAGATGGTTCCCAACTGACCCAACTCTACTGTGAAGTCGACAAAAACCAAAAAACGCGCATGAGTGGAAAAGAGTGTTAGGTTGTTCGAAAAGTAATGTCCGATTTTAGAATAAACATTTTTATTGTGTTTTAATGTATTATTATATATCACATTATTGTTATCTCTATCTATAAAAGGCAGGATGTGTTTGTGTGTGTATAACGAATGCACGGTCGCAATTTTCGATGGATTTGCACCAAAACAAGTGGGAAAAATTTAAATCTGCATGGCATTTTACTCCAATTGGCTCATTCGCTTGCTTAAACTCAGCGTTGATTCTGATTCCGCAGAACTGGGTTGGGCATGAAAAAGTATTTGTTGTTAACATTCTTGTTTCATTCGGTTTTTCCAGTTACGAGTCCTTTTTTAAAGCTGATCGTTTTGTGTTCATTTTGTTTAGTTCTTTTTTCGTAACAGATGTAATGTTTAGTATAGAGCTTAGAAAAAATTCGCAGTGTGAGATAGGCAAGAAGTAAGGCGTGTAGCAACATCAGCACGGAAAAGGGCACTCCTTTAAAGGCAAGGAAGGGCAAAAATATTTTAAGTCAAGTGATAGCGATTGCTGTATGAGTCGTACGATTTTTTAATCAAGCACGGGCAAAGCCGGATCATGCTGCTAGTATTATTATATACGTCACAGAAATATATTAATTATTCTTAATGGTAAAAGTGTCCTCTTTGTTAATTTTATATCAATCATTTTCAGAATTTAAATTATGAGGTTGTTTGGGAAATAATATCCGATTTTAGAATAAACCTATTAATTGTGCTCTAATATTTTACATAGATCGTTTGAGAACAAATGCTTGAGAATGGTTCTCCGCATCTTCTACAGGAAGCACAAAACAAATTGACTATGTATGGCGCAATGTCAAATCTCTCGTGCGTCAACAGAATTCTATCCTCACCACTGTTAAGCTTTGGAAGATGTCAATGGTTTAATCACGCCACACGGCATAACAGCCTATGCAAGGCCGTCATACAAGATACTGTTGAAGATTCAAGCCGGGATGGCAACGTAAGATCTGGCCAGAGAACATCAAAGGTTGGACGGAGATGACAATAGCGGAACTCCTGAGAGTCACTGCCAAGAGACCATCCTGTAGAAGCTTGTCTGTTTCTTCTGCTTTTAGATACCCATGACGATTGAGACAGACATTGCACTGATGAGGAAGATGTCGATTCTGATCTATCAGTCGTGATGAACTCACCTTGTTTTCAGGTAAGAAATCGTTAGTTTACTTTTTCAAAACTCTTTCAACGTATTTTTGATAAATGCTAATCTAAAAATGGTTGGCCAGACATATAATGATGTAACGAAAATACCATCATTAGCTCATCTGTTGCAGAAATGATTTCATATCTACCAAAAAGCTGTCCATATTTCTAGTGCCTCTGCTTTCTACACTTCGACATATTCCTCTTCGCCACTGGTTGTATCAGTGATAGACGGTCAAAGAAATGATAATTAACAACAACAAACATTAAATTCTCTCATGCCAGAAACTCTTTTGATTTTTTACTGTATATCTACCTTTTTAGGTTATTTAAATCCAGAACATATTTTTAGAATGTAACAATGTTTTAGGGAGATAATACCAATTGACCCATACAAGCCTTACTAATTAACCCATAGCTGGAGGGAGAAGAGGTTGATTGATACTTTTACCAAGTTTTATTCGAGTGTAAGTGAATATAATGTATCAGACTGGAACTGGAACTCGGCCCTTCGGTTTCCAAATCTGAGCAGTTTTCTATTAAACCACCCGCACATCCAAGCTAATGGCACTTGGTATTCCCAAGCGGTTACCCATCAAGTTACTGACCAGAGTCGACGTTTCTTAACTTCGGTAATCCTATATGTCAGAAATTTCCTTGCAAAATTTGTTTTCTGCGACTTGCACAAACGTACACACATAGGAACAGTGGGTCGGTTGTGAGGTGAGTGGGAGATTGATATATATATATATATATATATATATATATATATATATATATAAGTTATGAAGAACTTGGTAATCCGTATGAGTAATCCCAAGGAGGAAGAAATCCTGAGAGCTCAATGTAAATCCAGAGCAAATATTTAAAAGAAAACCAGACCACTTTAAGGTACCATTATAATAATTTATTTCACCAGAGACCTTTTAAAGGACTCTGGTGAAATAAATTATTATAATGGTACCTTAAAGTGGTTTTTTCTTTATATATATATATATATATATATATATATATATATATATATATATATAGAGAGAGAGAGAGAGAGAGAGAGAGATTGAGAGAGATTGAGAGAGATTGGGAGAGGAGAATTTAGTGATATATTGAGAGATATTGAGAGAGGAATGAGAGATTGAGAGAGAGAGAGAGATTGAGACAGAGATTGAGAGAGTGAAAGAGAGATTGAGAGAAAGTGACAGATTGAGAGAGATTAAGAGAGATAGAATTATAAATATATATAGATATAGATAGATAGATAGATATAGATAGATAGAGAGAGAGAGAGAGAGAGAGATGGAGAGAGAGTAAAATCCTCTGACAAAATAATATCAATTGTTTTCTATAAAATACGAAATAAACAGAGCTTAAATTAATCGATATAAACAAAGGACAATTAAACTGCTCCCGGAAATGGTTATTCAAATGGACGGCATTGCGGGAAAATCGATGTCTGCAGAATATAAATCAGCAATTAAAGATTAATGGTAAAAAGCAAATACAAATATTCAATACACTTATTTTTAGTTCAACGCTCTAAACGATTTACAAGCTGCGATATCAGAATTAAAATTTATGTAACAAATACATCGATATTTTGATTTTTTCTAATGATTACATAAAATATCACGCGCCAAAAAACGGCAAAATTCTGCTCTGTAGTTCCCCCGCCAACGCTTGAATGACGGTGGCTGCGTGATGATCGAGTATATAAAGTGCTGGTATCATTCTTCGTGTCCCTTCGGGACGTTAGCGAATATGGTTCACTACAATTTCCTGTCCTTAGGAGTTCTTAAATTTTGTCGTTTTTTTTTTTGTTTTTTTAAGGTTCACTCTTTACGAGGTTTGGGGGCCATTCGATTTAGAGGTTGCGTTAAGGGGTAGATTTTATAGATAGCAGAGGAACTTCAGATTTTTGTAGAAAGATTGTAGTGATCATGGAACCATCCACTGTTCTTCAGGGCAGCGGTTTGCGGGAAGAAGCTGTACGAGTTGAACTTACTTCTCGCCGATGTAATGCGGATGGAATGTGGATAGTTTGCTGTAATGTAAATAGCATGGCGAGTCCTAGCCGCAAAGGTTAGACCTGGCGGGAACAATGATTCGAGCACTTTCCATGGAAGTAGCGATACAGCAGGGAGACGCTCACTGCATCCGACCTGTGAAAGAGAGAGGTTGGAGGGTAGAAAATAATTCTTCTCCAACAAGGACTCGGAGACGCTTTTGAACTCTATCAAGAGTGGAAACTGAGGGCTAGGCAACTTCCGCCCAAATATGGATCTTTGGACCTGATCTGGCTCGTATAAAGGTAGAGAATAGCATGTCTTCTTTATGTATCTTAACCCTATGATCCATTTACTAAAGCTCTCTAGCTAAGTTATACATTGTTCTCTGTCCCTTACGCCTTCCATAAGCCCTGTGGGTATCAAATTTTACAAGCCCACTTTCCTCATTATGAACACTAGAAATTTCAACTGTCTATTCTTGATGCGATATAACTGTCGTTTTAGTTACCATTTTCCTCTAAAGCTTCGGCGTAGCTCAAATTTTCGGTCCATGTTATTCTCAGTATCCTTCTGTAGAACTACATATTTCGACGGTTGTTCATAACAGATAAATGCTTGTTTAGTGTGGCTGCATTAAATTAACCGAGGTCTGCACTGTGCATGATTTATGCACAACGCAGTTAATATCTGGGGAGCACGCAGGAGAGAGCAGTGGTGGCATGGAATTTAAGCGAGTGTTATTAGGACGGGAAGGATGTTTTAATTATGGCCTTATGTTTTTTACAATTGAACAAGCATGAAGAATGAGAATTGATTAGAAATACAGACCATTCAATATTAAACCAATACGTCAGACAATTATTCGATTTCATGATTACAGATCTAACAGATACGATTTATTGAACAGATGCTAAAAAAAATTAATTCACTCTAATGATTGCATATATAAAGGAGAGGATTTATTAAACAAATACAAAAAACATTCATTCAAACTAATGATCACGTACATAACAGATAAGAATTAATAAATAAATATTTCAAACTATTCATTCAATTTGATGATTACGTATATAACAGACAGGGTCTGTTAGCAAAAATCAATATTTTATTCCCTCTACTGATTACATATATAACGGATATAATCTATTAACTAAATCCATCAAAATATACATTCTCTCGAATGTTTAATCATGCAACAGAGACTATTGGCCAAATACGCCAAACATTTAAATCATTCTAATGATTACACACTTCTGTGTAGGAATTCTTAAACCTTTCCGTCAAAACTTTCCTTCAATCTAATGATTAAATATATAGCGGAAATGATTTATTAAACAAATACGTCAACGCTTTCACTCATTCTAATGATTACATGTACAATGTCTAGAATTTATTAAACAACTCCATTAAAACTTCCATTTACTCTAAAGCCTCAAATGTATTATTCAGTCATATGTTTTCATGCCAAGTTTTGCAGTCGTCTGTTACGATATTAGTTTAAATAGACGGAATATTTCTCTCGGTTGTCATGGCTGTTTTTATTCGCTACCATTGACACTACACTTCGCCGTTTGCCCGCTGTCCTTCCGGTTTAGTCTGTACGAATTGTGTTATTTTATACGCGTATTTTATTAATTTTAAAGCTAATGTTATTGTATGTTAATCGTCCACTGAGGGAGTTTATCAAGTCAATGTAGGATTTAATATGTTACACGTGTATATATACACAGAGGCTAGGATGTCATAAGTCTATCAAAGCTTGTGAATTTGAGAAAGTTCATGAATGTTCATCAAGTGTTTGAAAGGTCAGAACATGTGGTGGACCCAAAGTGTTACGATACAAAGTCTGGTGAAAAGTAAAGTGAACGTGTAAAATTAAAAAAAAATTGGTTTTACAGTGAATATTGTTGGGATTTCAATTATATCATTATGTAATGAGATGGACGTTTATGTTACATATCTTGAAGGTTGAAGTGATGGATTTAACCGGTTTTTTTTTTCGATATTTCGACATAATTTTTCTTGTCCGTTGAATTGCATTTAGCCTCAGCTTGGGTCAAAAGCCCATTCATCTATGTCCAAAAGGGAAACAGCACCGTGTTCTTGTAACTGGGGAGGCAGATTTATCCTCAGCCAGCGTTAAAGGCCCATTCATCTATGTCACAAAGGGGAACGACATCATGTGCTTGCAACTGGGGAGGCAGTTTTAGCCACAGCCCGGGTCAAAGGCCCATTCATCTGCTTGAAGACTGATTTAATCTCAGCCTGGGTGAAAGGCCCATTCATCTATGTCCCAACAGGAAATATCATCACGTGTTTGTAATTGGTGGAGGCTGATTTAGCCTCAGCCGGGGTCAGAGGCCCATTCATCTATGTCCCAAACGGAAACGGCATCATCTGCTGGTAACCGGGGAGGCAGAATTAGCCTCAGCCTGGGTAGGAGGCCCATTCACCTATGTCTCAAATGGGAAAAGGCATCATCTGCTTGTAACTGGGGAAGACTGATTTAACCTCAGCCTGGGTGAAAGGCCCATTGATCTATGTCCCAACGGGAAATATCATCACGTGTTTGTAATTGGTGGAGGCTGATTTAGCCTCAGCCGGGGTCAGAGGTCCATTCATCTATGTCCCAAACGGAAACGGCATCATCTGCTGGTATTTAGCCTCAGCCTGGGTAGGGGGCCCATTCACCTATGTCCCAAAATGGGAAAAGGCATCATCTGCTTGTAACTGGGAAAGACTGATTTAATCTCAGCCTGGGTGAAAGGCCCATTCATCTATTTAGCCTCAGCCAGGGTTTCATCTAATTCCAAATGAAACGGCATCATCTGCTTGTAACTGGAGGAGACTGTTTTAATCTCAGCCTGGGTGAAAGGCCCATTCATCAATGTTCCAAATGGAAACGGTATCATGTACTTGCAACTGGGGAAGCAGTTTTAGCCTCAGTCTGAGCCAAAGGCCCATTATATCTATGTCTCAACGGAAAATTTCATCACGTGTTTGTAATTGGGGGAGGCAGAATTAACCTCAGCCTAGGTCAAAGACCCATTCATCTATCTCGCAAAGGCAAACGGCGTCATCTGCTTGCAACCGGGGAGGCAGAATTAGCCTCTGCCTGAGCCAAACACCCATTCATCTATGTTCTAAAGGAAAACGGCATCATCTGCTTGTAACTCGGGGAGGCAGATTTAGCCCTAGCCTAGGTGAAAGGCCCATTCATCTATGTTCCAAAGGGAAACGGCATCATGTGCTTCTAAGAGAGGAGGCAGAATTTGCCTCAGCCTGGGTCACAGGTCGATTAATCTAAGTTACAAAGGGAAACGGCATCATGTGCTTGTAACTGGGGCAGGCTGAATTAGCCTCAGTCTGGGTAAAAGGCCCGTGCTAGAAGAAAACAACCTTTTCGTTTGGTTGCCATTCACGAACTGAAAAGCAACTCATTGTATAGATCGACGTCATGAAATAGTTTCATGTGACCACAGGACTTATCTTCCACCAAAGGGAGATAAGCGCTTCCTGTATACATAAAGTGAAAGAGTTGATCGTCTGCAAGATGATCTTGACAAACACCACTCAAATGTAGACGTTTTTATATATTTATGTAAGTCTTTCGCATCCTGACACAGGTTAAGATTAACAATGCACCCAGTGAACAGTGAACCCAATATTATTGCCAGTTGATTGAGAGATTAACGTGCTAACAGCGGGGCTTCGTTAAAATCTCCTTTACTCAAGTAAATTCTGCGATTAGTCAATTAACACTTGATTATATTTTATCGATGCAACTCCCTGAATTAAATTTTGATGACGGTGTAAAATTGACATGAACAGGGAAGTTTCGCTAGATCTTACGAATGCTTTATTAATTTAATGTATTGATTTAATATCTCTATTTCGTAGAATACAATGGCAGACATTGAACGGGACGCTAGTAATTATTAAATAGTAACGCAGTTTACACTTAAGTCATGCTGTAAAATTATGTTTATCGGCTGACTCTCACTTCGATTCTAATTGTCATCTCTGATCATTTCGTCTTTTGCAAGGATAGGGTAATGCCACATCACTTTGAAGCAACACTGAGCCTGGTTAATATCTTAGTATGTGACCTCTAGGAAGCTATAACCTTGAACGTGTCGGTTGTGTAATTATATCACGGCTCAGAATTGAAAATCAGAGAGCTGAGATCCAATTCCGGTTTTGTCAGGTTTGTAATATTCATTTACCTGCAAATACCCTTGGGAAAGGTATGAATCTACAGGCTGATCCGAAAGTCTTGTCACCCATAGATAATATAATTTCTTTTTACGGCCTATCAACTATTTGCAGGTTTTCTATAACCAGAAAATACTTTAAGATTGTGAGACTTTTTGGAGATCAAATTACTGATACAATTCCTACTGATTAACCCATAGCTGAGAGAAGACTTGGATTCATGCCCCTATCAGGGGTATTTGTTGCCCGTAAGTGGATATAACGAACCCGACTAGAATTGGAACTCAGCTCACCGATTTCCTGTTCCGAGCCCACGCACACATCCAAGCTTACAAAACCTGATTTTCCAAAGAGGTCACCTATCTATTTACTGACCAGAACCGACGTTGCTTAACCTCGGTGATGGTACGAGAACCGGTGTTTCAACATAATATAGCCGTAAGTCTAAGGTTTAAGATAAAATGAAAGCAAAATGAACACTCATATGTAGCACCAGAAAGAGACAGTTGGCATTTCGAGTGTACATTTTGAGGAAAGAAGGTTTTCAAAATTTGACACTCACAGATGTAATGCATGCAGTTGGGGCATTTTGAATATTATTTTGTCTCAGGTCATTTAATCTGCTGTATGAAAATTTCCTCTTCATGACAATACATTAAATCTAAGAAGTTTAAGAATTCTAGTTTGTTTTCCCGAAACGTGCTACTGATAATTCAGGCGAGTGAATTCGTGAATACATCCCTTATCTTGTTTTCATAAAATTGTCTTTCTTCGTCATTATCACCCTTCATTAATTTAATTGTCGTGGGTAAATTAACTGTTCATTTTGACCCCGATGCCCTCCCACGCCACTATAGTACTACATCTATTGATTTTTTTCCCTCCAATTTTAACTGGTTTCTACACACTTACTTAAGCAGTTAATGAAAGGATCATTTACAATGACACTATGATCTCAACAACAGTTGTTAAAAAAATATATATATGGTTTTATGATCAAACGTCAGAATATTGATTTTGTCAATTGGATCACTCTGACCGGTTTTTGGCACACCGTCACGTACACACTAATATATTCAAAAGCTGAACGTTAGATGGTCATCCTTAAAAAGTAATTTTATAACGTCCCAGTTAAATATTCCGAGCAAAAATGAAATGTGTTAATACTGTAAACTTTATTCAGCCAGTTATATGCCATGCGGAATACACGCTTACTCGATGATTTTTCTTTCGATACCTAACTAACAAGGCAGATTTTTTCCCGCAGTAGGTTTCCATTCATTTTTCCGGCAGACCAGTTGCCATCCAAGGCTAGAGAACCAAGTTTACCCTGCTATTTACCAATAGATGGTGGGGAGAATTCGATTCCTCAATCTGAGCCGCTATCCATTACTTCTACGTGCCTCCTCTTTAGTAATATGCGTAACACAGGGTTATCTTATGGAAGCGCAAACATGGATATCACCGGTGAAAATGATGTTAAGCCTCGGATGAATCGGTCGTGCTTCACACCGCTAATATGCCAAAATATCGTATGGCCAATAGTGATGGTAATCATAAAAGAAAAACATAACATAAATTGAATGGAACCACGGAATAGAAAAAGCATCCACCGTCCCTTGCATGCAACTATATAAATTAAACATCCTTCGGTAAAAGTACTTGTCGGAACACGAGAATAACATTATAACTTTTTGATCTACGCCACAATCATCAACTATCACTTCTCGTGATAAAGTGGAAAGATTATCGAACATACTCGTGACTTTTGAAGACCTAACTGCGCGTCTAATATGCCTCGTACGTCTTTTATAATAGCAAATATGGTAAATGTTTAAGAGTCTCTTTCTGATTTTAAATATAAGTGAACTTTTTGTTTCCATTTTTCCCCCAAACTTTCTCATTTTTTTTTACATGGTCAGTCCATGATATTCTCAGCATCCTTCTACCGACGCGCATATCTGCTGCCTCAGGCCACTTTTTTTATTTTATTATTTTATTATTTTTTTTATTTTATTATTTTTTTTATTTTATTTTTTTTTAAGATTGTCGAGCATTATAGGAGGACCGATATTACCGGGTAGTATTTTCTTTGTTTCTATCAAGTATTTCCTGTTTCTTAATACATTGCTTAGCTTTTGGAAGACAATTCGAATTTCGGTGGGGCATTTTCTCGTCCTCTGCTAAAAACACTTTCTAGATACCTTAATTTTTGTTCTTGTTAGATTTGGTATCTCCTATTTGTAATTCTCATGTTGGCCTGTTGCTTTTTGCTCACAACCATATATTCTATCTTCTTAAAAATTTACGCTTAGTCCTTTCTTCTCGCTTTCCTTTATTAGATTCTGTAGGAGTGCTAATGTTTCTCTTTCTATGTATGCTGTCAGCACCGTGTCATCTGCATATCTAATATTTTTCTAATTGTGGCCGCTAATAATGAATCATGTTAGGACTTCTAATTGTCTCTGAATTACCTCACCGTAAGATTTAAAGTCCAACGGGAAGATAGATCCTTGTCTTAAAACCCTTTCGATTTTTCTATATGTACTGAATGCATTTTCTATGCGTGTGTAGTCGGTTTGCTCCGAGTATCAATTCTGGATTATTCTAATATCCTTCCCAAATAAATCAAGTTTTCCTAACAGTTCCAATAGATTTTTGGCATGTAATTTATCAAACACTTTTGTATAATGTATAAAACAGAGGTAGGTATCGTAATGTATTTGTATTTCTACACGGCCTGAAGCGAGCTTCACATCGTCTCCAGACCACAGCTCAACAGACATCGAGTTGAATCTGGTCAAGATCCAAAGTAAACAAAGTTAATTAAAACCATACTGGCAACACAATACTACTTCCGACATGAAACACATCTGTTTACGCTCCATTCTACGTCATTGATAACGGTTGCTAAGAGCGCGTTGTGTATTGGTTAACGATCAAAAGCAATGCTTTCACACGTTGTATGTAGAAAATTGCGCTTTTTGATATCCCTCTGAGCATAAATAAATTCACAAAGCACGAGGATTATTTTTCGCATAACGTGTTCTTCATCATTGTCAATGCACTTAATTCAGTGATAAATATTCATCGCTGATCACAGACACGAGACTATGAGAAAATCATATCAAAACACAATTAACAATTACGTTTCGGCCTACAAACCTATTGATTAATCATCTTATCATTCCCTGAAACTTATATTTCTAACTTCGTTGATATGAACAGCTTACAAGCGTAACTCACGACACAGGTTTTAGTTGAATGATCAGAGATTCAATTTGGCGTTGTCGTAAAATCGATAAGTGTGTCTATCTAGGAGGAAATGATAAATGATACTTTTCCTGGTTGATCCAAAGGACAGTCATCAAAAATACATGATTGCCAATTTTCTAAGCAATTATCGACTCAGAACCAAAACTTCAGGATCGTCTAGTCAAGTTAGTAGACAAGGGTAGGAAGAAAGGACTAACTTTCAATTGTAAAAAGAAAGAATTTATCGTTTTCAGTAAGAAGCAAAACCCACATTACAAGCTACGAGTTGTAAATTCCAAAATCAAAT